AGTATATTCCCTGATTTTACGGATCGCTGAATAACGCTTTTTGTTTATACATCGTCTGCAGATAATCCACCAATGAGCACACTGTATGTCTATGCTGTCTATCTGATTCATTCCTGGTATTACTATCATCTTAATTCGTGTGTTTGTTTTGTAGTTTGCTAGAACGCAACAGATTGCAGTACAGTGGAGTTCAGTAAAAGAAGATATGCCACTTTCGCATGGCGCGCAAATGTGTGTGTGTGTGTGTGTGCTGCTCGTTATTTTGCTGTCTCTTATGCCTCTAGCAACACAAAGGAATTTCCCATCTTCTCTTTGTTGTTTTCTCCCGTACTGTAACTCCGCACCACTTGAGGGAATTCCATCTTTGCTTCCTGACTTACTACTTTCATCCTTTCCCACTCACTAGGAAGAAAAGCAGAGATAGATGAGACGAAGAAGAGACTGTTACCTCGAAAAGGCTTCAGAATAAAGGGCAGCACTAAGAAAAACTAAACTGCAATGCAGCACTAACAGAAACAACTAATCACACATAAAAGTACATAAGAACTAACCGAACCGCCAACGGACACATGAAGGTAACTTCGTCTCATAAACGCAAGACTCACTGTGCGAATCGTTTCAAAGAAGACTTTTCTTAAAGTATGTGGATCAAAACCCACTCTAGTATCAGAACCTGAACACGCAACACCAAATACCGAAGTCCGCCATCTGACACGATCCTGAGCAAGTAACATCCATCTCCGATTCTCACAACCTTCTTCCCTAACATCCACCTTAATCTCATCCTCCAATCTCCGTCTACATGTTCCAGCCCCCAACCAAGATCTGCATGCGTTTCTCATCACAATTTCAGTCTACTTAAGTTTAATGGTTTTCACTATTCCAACAACACTAGATTACACACATAAACAACAAAATTCTATATTAGGAAATAAAATACTCACTTTATGTTTCTCAGATCAAAATATTTTGTTCTGGAAGACCCGTGATTTATATATTTCATCGATGATGATATGATGATGATGATGGTAATAATAATATTCATGGACAATTCTTGAGTCCCTCAGCTCTGCGGCTTCAAATAGGCCTATTGTATCAGCCCCTGATGATAGGGGCGAAGATAGACGAGTTGGCCTACATGCAACCGCTAGAATGATGACTGGAAGGAGAAAATCGAAGCTGATACACGGAGAAACATTTGTCTCTTCATCTCCCCACCCCAGAGATATTTCAATCATCACAAATCTAACACGGACTGCGCTGAGATTAAATCCGGACCTACGCAACTGATCACCCGGGCGATGTCTCGGACTGACGCACTACCGACACTTCTGGGTCTTTCTAAGCTGATCTGAGGACGTCAAGTCTGTTTCTCCCCCTTCCATGAATAGTTTGTAAATAACTAACGTCGTATCAAGTGGCGAAAACGACCGTAGCAGTCAACAATCCCAGCGGTGCGGGGCACGGACACAAGAGGTGACTGTGTAGTCAGCTGAAAACTTCCCGTGGTTTAAAGCCTTCAGCTGGGAAGAACACAACAGAAGAATTTCCCACAAAACCGATGGGCTATATCCGAATAGAGACGTGGGGAAATACGAAGTTGGAATTCTTTCTCGGTGCGTGCATTCCGTTTGAGCCAGCTCTGTAAATCTCAGAACAAACTAGCATTATTTTATGTTGCAGGCCCTATAAACTATTTGTTCCACGTACATCATTGTTCCTGAGGAAACCTGTGTTAACAAGAAACGAATCACGGGTATTCTTGAAAAAGGACTAGCAAATCTTAACTTAAAAGGAATGTTGGCATCACTGCGAGTTATCTGAATCTTTAATGTAAACAATTATCAAACTGTGCGGTAGAGTCTGTGTTAGTAACCTGGATACACTAGAGTTCAGCAACATACAGACTTGAGATCACGTCAATTGATTTACTGATTATGTTACTTTACGACAGTCTTTCAATTTCAGAAATCACTTAGCGTCGACCGAGAGGAGAATGCATTAATGAATGTGGGAAGGCGAGGATTTTGGAGGGCGCTGTTAATTTTAAAATGATATTGTGGTATTCCTTGCAGATAAAAAAGTGTTTCGAGATAGGCGGTGTTCCGGGCGAGATCCGAACCGGACACCCACAGAATATTACTCTGAACCGTTATCTTTATATCAACAGAAAATATATCGAGATTCTCGAGATGATCTTACGCGGCTCTCGTCTGTTACTCTTCCTGGGGCTCATAAAATTAATTTTACTTCACCTGTTTTCAATTTTGCACGTTCCTGTTCAAGTATGCACCTTTGCACGAAGCTTCTAAGCGTGTTAGATGCTGAAGAAAGACGTTTCAGTATCTATTACCGTGGGAAAGTTCCCAGAACTACCTCGAACGTGACAATTGACAATCGCCACGCAGTGAGGCAAAATACTGGCACAATGGTAGGCATACACGAATGTTTCTCCGACCATTGAACCGGAAGAAGGTGATTACCTTCACGTTCCGGTCGGCCTTACTCCTGTGGAAATATTTCACACTTCAGCTACTAGGATGAAGCCGTTCTAGAAGCATAACGTGTGATTGATTCTTAGGTTTTTAACTACACCTCTTCACTCCGTACACTAAATAGTGTAGAACATAACAGACGAATATAAGGACAGAGAAAGATTTGAAAGGAAGCGGACGTGACCTGTTTCATGATAGCATCCCAGAATTTGCCTGAAGGACCGAGGAAAACCACAACCATCCGAGATTTGTTGGTCACCGGATCGAAATCCGAACCATGGACCTCCAGAATACCCAGCAAAAATGTAACCACCCGTCCACGATGTTCGGTGTGTAGATTGTGCGCGCGTGCAGATAACGATGTGTGCTATCACGTGTGTGCGTGTGAAGAAAGATTTTGGTTCAAAGAACTCAAAGTCAGGTACCACTCGCAAGATAAAAGTGTAGATGGAAGAATAATGTTAGTATGAATAGCAGTTAAATAGGCTTTAATGTTATGAAGTCGACTGGACTGGATCAGAATAGAGTCCAATAGTCGTAGGGTCCTGTAGCACACTGAAGAACCATGAGTTTCGTAAACGTCATTATGAATTTGACTTATAAATCTGGCTACGAGACATGCATATTCTTAATTTACTTTGTATACTTGTAGATTAGCGAATATTAGTTTCAGTTAATACATTAAAATGTTAGAAAGAGGGTACAAAGTTACAAATGCCACAAAACTACACAGCATAGTATACTGAGAACAGCCGACAGGGAAATCGGCCCACTTTAATTAGGGCAGCCAAAACGAACAAAAAGAAACTGCGAACTTCAACGCAAATCGCAGGCATCTTCGTCCCATCTGCAGTTCTTCCACAGAGTCTACTTCCGCTTGCCTGTCTCTGTATGTGGCAGTAAATATGTAAGCCGCGTTCCCTCAATCGATTTTCCCGTAGATTCAGGACACATTGTCTATGTGATACCACCACAAAATATTTGAAAGACATAGCGATATTCTCCCTGCATTTGCCTACCAAAGCCAAACGGTCAAATTGTGCAGGAAACGGTATTTTCCATCTTAAGGCCCCTTTTATGTGGGCTGTACACGTCCTCTGAATCCTCCAATAAAAGCTGGAAACGATAGCATTTAACATACGTCGAGAGAGTCGTTGGCAATAACACGTCCTTCCTGCAAAAATAACACGAGGCTATGAAATTCAGGAGCTCAAAGTAATGGACAGTTTTATTCCGCGAAATGCTTTCAACCACTGTGCTGAGACAGCGGCTTTGGTAGACAGCAAGCAAAACTCTGGGGTTTATTTTCATTTCGTATTAAAGTCTTGCGGAATATGAGATGCCAGTTACATTTAAAATTCTGGTAAAGAATTATTTATGCCTTTGGCGCGTAAACATCGCAAGCGAAAGTAGAAACTGGGTTCAGGATTCTGGAATCATAATTTGTGTGTGTTCTTAATAAGGCGCTCTGACGTAACAAACATTTTTAATAATAGATTAAATGGAATAATTTTTTTTGGAGTACCAGGCAGTCTATCAGCTTGTGTAGAAGTTCCCCCCCTTTTCATAACCCGAAAATTCGTTGTCATGTTCACACAAAATCTGGCAGTGGACCCTACCCAAGTGTCACACGTATTCAATCCACAGAGCAACATTCGATATCTTTAAGATGTTTAGATTTTTCCATTCCCATTTCTTCCATGCATCCTACATACGCCGCATATCTTGTCCTCCTTGATCTGATCACTACAATAACACGTGGTAAAAGAGAATATGGTAATTTTAACGATCCCCCTGTTATTTTGTTTTCCTTAGGTTCAAGTAGTCTCAGAACTCTGCAACGATATCAATGTATGTTTTTCCCAAAACCTTCAATGTAAAAAGTACGAGGCTCAAACTGTATGAAAAATTTAATAAAATCATGCGAAACGTAGGCTACCTGAAGTACTAACATAAGTTAATGACAGATATATCAACGAATGTGGTCTCAAAAGCTAGACCAAAATAGCTGTTTGAAACGAACGTTTGAGGTTTTGTTTGTAAAGATGTTAACTGAAAGTGGACTGATGCCGAATAGAGCCACCGACAATTTCGTCTGGCAGTGAAAAAACTTATATTTCATAATTCCAAGTACTTAATTTAAAACGAACCAAATTAAGTTGTAGAAAGTAACATATATCAACAGCGAAGTTCACAAGAACAACCTTTGAAATAATTCTTAGTACTCATTTTCCTGAGTAATGTTGTACAAATATGCCGGACGATCGGGGTTCGATCCCCAACAGAGGCAAGAGGGTTTTGTTCTAGCCTCTGTGTCCAGACCGGTTCTTGGGTTCAACAGCTCCTGTCTAATGAGTACCGGGGGTGTTTTTGCCAGGGGAACATTGAAGACAAGAAGCAGCTGGTAATATCTTCAAAAAACGTCCAGTGGTAATAGTGTTACGGAGCATGCAGGCACACAGCAAGCTTGTTCTGGTGCAAAGAAAGAGTTGGAAGCGTACTCACATAGTTGAGGGCGAGGTCCGGGTGATTGGTTTGGATGCCGTCGTCCAGGATGGACACCACGACGCCCTTCCCCGTGTATCCCTTCTGCCAAGCCGGCGCCACGTTCATATCGAAACCATCCTTGGCGCCACCATTCTGCAAATTTCACACCACATCATCATTCACCTGAAACCTGCACTCTAATATCTCATCATTTTACATTTTTAGCTGAAGAAAGAGCCTTTCGGAGAGTGCGATGAGCTTGTGTGGATCAAATAATACTGTGGTCTTTCGTGACTGTAGTGCGTGGCACATTAATATAGACATGAAAACTTCTTATTCAAATTATAAAAATTCATATGAGTAACATAAAATTACTAAAATTTCATCACCGTTAAAGTCGTAATAAATCAGTGCTATTTAAGTGTCGACTGTGGTCTTTTGGGTTATCAACCATTTGTAAGACTACAATGGGTAACAACCCAGAAGACCATTATCGGCATCTTCACCATGATCATCTCACATCTCAAAGAGTAAATAAGTCTGTGTAATGCATGACCCATGTTTTCCAAAATAAATTTAAGAATGACGTAGGCCAATATCACAAACAGCATGAACAAAAGGAAACAATTTCTGACCAATGTACCATTCTATTTCGTAGACATTATTCATATATCTCAAGCTATTAAAATGCTTCACAAGGTACACAGGTTGTTCCCTCAAGCGATGATTTTGTTTGAATAATTCAGTATAGTAACATGGATAACACAGAATGTTAAATACACATGAGATAATTCCGAGACAGTCCATAACTAACTCCGTTCAGCACAGACTTTTTTGAAAAGCCGATAGTTAAATTCCCAAGCCTTTATAGAAACCGAAGCTTCCATACCGTGTCCACAAAAGCCCACCACTGGATCCTAACGTGAGTCACACCCTATTTTTTTAAGATCCATTTTAATAATATCATTCCATGAAATTGAGTACATATTATAGGCACGTGGGATTTTGCAGTGGCTATGGCCGACGAAAAACAAAAAAACAAAAGTTGAGTTGAATGTATCTAATTCTACGGGGTATTCCAACGTTTAGAAACACTTCAGTAGATCTCTAAGGCACCTCGAAACAATCCAAAGAAGCTTCATAACCAACACAGATTTTATTTATAAATATGGTTTCAATTGACACAATTATGCAAGTCAGATATGACGGGACGACAAAGATATGGAGAAGCAAAAGAGACACACAGCAAAATTAAGAATACAAGGCTACTAGCTAAAGTGACAGTCCTCAGTGAATGTTCTTCTAAATTAAACGGTAGTGAGATAATGAAAAGGATTATTATTATTACGACGAAAAACAGTAGCTAGTGATCACTTTATGCATCTTAGGCTCACTGAATAAGACCTCTAGGAATGTATAACTGAATTATATTTAAACTTACATTCACGAGTAAACTAAGATTACATCGAATTAAGAGAATGCTTCCTACCATTCAGTTCAAAATCTTTTATTTTCCCGTCTATCTAAAAACTTAAATATTAATAATAATCCGTGGCGTAACAGCCCTCTGAGGGCCAAAGCCGACTAGCTGGCTGCTGGCCTCACGTTCACATGCCTAAGCAGAGGTGAACGATCATCCGACCAGATATAGGGTGACGTGTGGTCAGCACGACGAACCCCCAGCCATTGCTAGCTTTCCTGACCGGATTACGCTACTCATTGTAGCTCCCCAATTTCCTCACGATGCTGGGTTGACACCGGTCCCACACACTGGTCGGAAGCTCATGAGAAATTTCTTTCCCCGAGACTCGAACCAGCGCGCATTCCGTATCACCGGTCCGAAGCATGATGCCCTAGACTGCGCGGCTACGGCGCGGGACACTTAAAGATTATTTAGTCTAAAAATACAATGTTACAGGTTAGTGTTAGAATTTAAAAACTTCTGTTCTTACCATAAAAGAATTAACATTTATTGAGGATGTTGGAGATTAAGTGTTGAGGAGAATATGTCTACTTAAGTCAGAAAGAACAGTACGTAAAAAGAAGTTCCATAGTTTCCACTCTTCAATTATTATTATTATTATTATTATTCATTCAGTGTAAAATTGGTGTCTCGTGAATGGGATGCAACTTAATTTAAGTAAAACGACTGTTATATCGTTCACCCGAAAGACAAACAGTATTTACTTTAATTACAAATTGTGTAACAATCTGGTGGCACGTTCTTATTGTGTTAAGATCTCGGTGTTCTATTACACTGTAAGCTTTATTTTCCTCAGCAATTAACTACATATTTTCACAAAGCTTAAAAATGCTTGGCTTGATTCGGTACATTACTTCTTCCTTCTCCACTGTTGATAGCCTTTTGGTTTTGAACAGTACTTTAGTTCGTTCCAAAATTGAGTATGCTTCCGTTGTTTGGAACTCTATTACTAATACTGATTCCTTTAAATTGGAAAGGATTCAAAGGAAATTTGTAGCTCTATATAGATTCTTTAACGGCGTTTGTGCCTATAATTATGATGATATATTAGTCAGATTAAATTTCTTATCGTTACATTTAAAGAGGAGGCTTTTGGATGCGCTTTACCTCATCAATGTTTTTAAAGGGAAAATTAGTTGCTCTTCTTTTTTTTGATACAGTTAGTCTCTGCGTACCCACTAGGTCTATCAGAGACTACTCTACCTTTACTGTACAACGTAATTTCAAGGCCAGTCCCTCTGCCAGACGTGTTTCTGCTGCCAATGCAGTCTGTAGGAGCATCGACATCTTTAACAAAGATCGTGTTTTGCTTACTGATGTCAGTCAGCTTTTTAAACAATAATCATCGTTTTTTGTGCATTCACTTGCTGTGCTGACTGCATTTTATTTTGTGGTTTTAATTTTATAAGTTTTTTCTGTTTTGTTTTATTTAGTATTATTAATTGAATTATATTACTTAGGTATATTTAGCTCATTTACTTAAAAATTATTTTGCAATAAATTAATATTGTACATTAATATATTTAGTCTATTGTTTGTTTGTTTTTGTATTGTAATGTTTGTATTGTTAGTGCTTAGCCGTCATTGGCCTTTTTGGCTGTTGTTAAGCATTTTAATAAATGAATTGTATTGAATTAGTGCTTGGCTGTTATTGGCTTCTTTTGGCTGTTGCCAAGCACTCTAATAAATTAATTGAATTGAATTGAATTATCTCATCTATTCACCACTTTATGGGGTACGTACTTCCATGTACCCGAGACAGACCTTGTCCCTAAGGTACATAGTGCAGCAGCTATTTCCGGAATACATATTGTTTTTAACACGTGCTAATGTATTATATAATTTTATTTTACGACAGCGTCTTTCGAATGATTTATTAGTAGTAGTAGTAGTAGTAATAGTAGTAGCAGTAGTAGTAGTATTATTGAGATTGAATCAAAATCATGCCATCGGCGAGACACGTGGAAGATGAAAGACGCATACAGATTTTAGTGAGGAAATCTGAAGAGAAGATACAACTTGGAAGACCATGACGCACACGAAAGGATAATACTAAAATCGATCCTTAAAGAACAAACGTGAGAGGGTGTGGACGTTATTGGCTCAACTGATGCGCTTTTGTCAAAAACGGTTGTAAACCTCAAAGTTCCATAAAGGATAGACGTCTGCCAACTGTACTACTGTCTGAGTATCAATAAGAACTCTACTGTAATGGATAGGTTAAGGTCGTTTATAAATAACATAAGGTAAGTTGTGGCAACGCATAATACTTAAAGACTCATATTTTAGGTAATATAATACAAATACTTAACGAGTACCATCATCCAGAACATGAATTTTTTTATGCATTGTATAGAAATATTTCAACATAACGCACAGATATGGAACCGTGGACCAACGCCAGCGCATGTGAATGGCTAACATACTGTGCAACAGGCATGTGTCAATTAATTTTTTTTTTCACAACGTCAAAAGACATAATGGCTACCTGCACACGCACCGTGTCCAAATGTATCTCCTCAACAGAAAGTGACATTCCCAATAATTGAACATCTGACTATCAAACAAAAATCTGATGACATAAGAGCGGTGCGTGGGGTAAGAGGTGATTTAGCTCGCAGTACAGAGAACGCAATATTACTACGTATACAATATGTAAAACTGTTCTTTTAGACTTTGTCCGTCATATAAATTATGAAACTGTACAACTAGAATGTTTCGGAAGCTGGATTCTGCTTCTGTCTTCAGGTAAAAACGGGGGAAAGAGGGCAGAAAGCCTATATGCAACCCCCCCCCCCCCCCCCCGCTTGGGCTAGCTCTACCAGCTCTCGAAACGTAGTTTTTGTAATTTTGTATTCAAGACGATGTAAAAGCACAGAAGAAGAGTTTTACTTATTAGAATGCAACATCGCCAGAAATCTTCAGAATTTCTGACCACGTACATGCAGCCATATCTACGGATTGTTTATTTAGAATATTGTTATTCCAAATGGTGGTTACTTATATTCTGGATTATAAAATGACGCCTTTTTTATATTTATACAGACAATTTCAATTTTAAGAATACAACATTTTCAGTTAGGTGAGCTCTTTCCCAGTGTCTCTCATTATCGCTTACGGTAGCAATACTTTAAATCTCGAACCTGAATGCAGATTATTAATTTATTTAAAATATTACAGGACTAAACTTATGAAAGTGCCTTGAATATACGCGAAAAAGCGTAAGAGATATCAGTTCAAATAAATTTCCACGGCCCAAAAATATAAAATGCATGAAAAGTCAGAGATGTATATGAGCAAACAGTGCAGAGTTGTAACTAACAAACACCTGATTATCAGTTTATCTCTCCTGGGGTTATAAAAATGTGGAGACCCTTTTAAACAAATTATTCTTAGTGAGTTTATCTCGCAGTTAATCCTCTGCGCGCAGCTAAGCGGATCCCGGCAGACACACAGCACTGAGCGAACCTAATGCATAGTCAATTCTATTTGCCTAGTAGCGCTCTAGGCCGTGTACTGGCCGTGTTTCTCAATTGTGTTAAGTGCTTAAATTACAACGCAGTCCAATGCACTCACTGCTTTATACAAGTGACCCTACACACAGCTGTCCGGCACAATTTCATACACAGATACAAAACTTCGAACACCATGAAAGTCACAGTCACACAAA